AGTTTCTTCAATTATGCTCATTTTTACAGAAAGTTCACCCATTATCAAGATCGAGTTGCTATAAAATAATGTGTTCATGTGGTCGATCTTATGTGGGAAAGACTTGCCGTCCAATTCAATAAAGGGTGGCTAAACAAAAAATAGCTTCTAGCGGCAGTTGGGTAATAAAAATTAGAGCTATCTGAGCAAAAGGCAGAAACTAGATATGAAATTCAATTGTCGGACCTATTTTAATTGCACATCGCAGGTATTAGGATTGGTGACTAAGAGCTAAGAGCATAAGCAATTTTTGCATAAGTATTGAGCAATATGTCAATAAGCAAGAATGATAACTCAAATGCAACCCTTTCTGATAGCGAAAAATATCGATGAACTAAGGAAGTTTAACATAAGAGCATTACCTGAAGCAGGGTATTCTAGTTATTCCATTATGTATATAAGTCCTAGGGACCTAGAAGCTTTAATCGAAGACATAAAGACTAGGATGCATAGTAAGGGAAAAATTGAGAAATAGATGACATTGCTTAAACAAGGCAAATACTAGAGAGGCTACACAAGGGCTAATAGTCAACAATCATGTAAACTGGCGAAATTCATATACTTTAAATTAGATAGATAAAGGTAGTCAAACATCGTAAATAATTCGTATGAATTTTTTAAAAGGGTCGACAAAATTGGACTAGCAGGAACCGCTGGTATCTGTTGATGTACACGAAAATCTCAGGCGAGAAAGTGCTCACGGCTCTGCTGGAAATTCTGGAGGGAGAAGATATTCTTTAAGCATAGCGGATACATGAGTTTTACACGACTGGCCAACCTGACGAAGATCACATACTTCAAATTCAACGGTAATGTCTATGAGCAAATATTTAGACCACCTACGGGACATCAGCACTCACCTCATTTGGCAAACGTATAAGTGGTCATATAAGAAATAAATAAGGAGCTGCGATCAAGAGTGTTCATGCAACACCTTACCGACTACTTTGTACTTTGGTAGCATGATAGAAAATATTTTTTATCCTGTAATTTATGAGCTAGCCTGGCAAAAGAATCAAATTCACAATAGAGGTGTAGAGGAGGATGAGCCACTGCCAGTTCTGTATATCGAGATCATCAAATTCAACTGGACTATTCCGAAAGAGATCGAGTGCACGAATAATCTTCAACTTTAAGTAGCATCCCAAATACATAATCAAAATCAGAATAATGAGAAACTTGATCATGGGTGGGAAGCGAAATCGATTGGTTATATTTGATGAAAATACAAGCAAATACAAGATTGGACGTCGTCAGTATTATTACTAAAATAAACCTAATT